CCAATTCTCTGCGTTAGGACGGACGCGTTGGCTAATCGTCCTACCGCTAGAAACAATAAACTCTTTCTGTTCACCAATAAGTTTTTCATTAATAACCTTACCCGCAAGATGTAAATAAAATTCATACTGCCAAGGGTGAATAATCTTCACATCCTTAGGTGAAATTGTGGCTCTGATTACATGTATTATTAGGCCAATGGGACAACATGCATCCCGTCCAAATTTCAATAAGTGTTCGGGAGTAAACTTATAAGGAGCCCAATGCTCTGAAACAAGTTTTGGTTGTTAAGCAAAATACATTCTATTAGTGCACAGAAATATTTTTCACACACACAGAACAGTACGCGCAAGTGTAATTGTTAATGGAGCGCATCTTCATCGAAAAGGCAAACATTCGACTACACTGAGGAGATGACGGTAAAATACGAGAAGGACGAGCTCATCATCTGAAACAGAAACTTATTGCATCTGTGCTCGAGGATAAAACAATATATAAATACGACGAATTACCGTTGTGAATCCTTCGTAACACGGAGTGAATAAGCCGGCAAGATTCAACTTCACTTCGCTTATGCTCCTCATCATTATAAACAGCAAGAGTTTCTGCGATCTCAGCGGCATGCAGTACCACAACGTATCGTACCTGTTTCATTCAATAGCGTTGTTTCATTATCTTTCATATGGCACATGTTCCCGTATTATAAATCTTTTCGTGTGATTATTGGTGTTGAAAGGTGGTTACGTAATCAAGCGCAATTTTATATCCAATTAGGAATGAATATTTCAATCGACTGTTTGACCGTTCAACAATTGCGATATTAATACTGTAAACTTCTAAAGGGACGATGAATTCGTATAAATAATTAGTAGCCGTGATATCAAGACGTTCATCCTTCTTAACTGAAAACTTTTCGCCTGGTATAGTAACTGTCTGTTAAATGGAATAATTGACTTACGAATTATGAAAGAAATCTACGCTATTGTTTATCATTCTCTGTCCACTATAATTATTCAAGAGCATAATCATCAAATGCACCAAGAAAATTAGTAAGGAGATGACCACATTATCTATCTCGTGCTTGTTCTGCAACACCACGTAGACCTGTCGTGTGCCAAAAATATTGTTGTTATGTTTCCTTCGATGGAACAATAAAGTGAAATCACGGTTGTTGATTATTTCTCATGATCTCCTAACGATACTTACACGATACAAATTTATAGCGAACGATATGATAACTGCTATGATAGCCACTAAATACGGTATCGCAATACTGGTCTCGATTTGTTTGTTCATTCTTCGTTCACGAGTTCGGTAAATGTCCCATCGTATTGACGATCGTTCGATGCAAAACAAACAAGACACGTAATTAAATCGCAAAGAAACGTGCAGTCAACAGTAATTGCTTTAACCCTTTGCACTCCTTTGTCTAGTGTGGCTCGACAC